GGAAACTAGGTACCTAGTTTTTGGAAAAATTAACCGGAGACCTAGTTTTGGGCTCGTATTCGGTTATTCGAATAATTTATTCGGTTTCTGCCCAGGCCTAAATTTGGGGATAAATACCTGGCAGTAGAGAGTAGTGGTGGGCAAAGAGTCGCTTTAGGAAAATCCGGATATGTTGGTGCACCCCATTGGGAAAATCCGGATAACCGGATTTTAACCCTATTTTCTTGCGCACCCCATTCGTTAAGTTGGTGCGTGAAGTGGGTGCCTGAAGTGGGTGTGAATCGCTTTCGAAGAGGTCGGCGCCACCTTTTTTATCATACCCTACTATTTCAACCCCCCATTTTCAATCCTTGGCCCATGTGAAAAGTCTGAATTCTCTCAAGTTTACAGATTTTCTAATTATATATGCTCGTGAACAGTTAGAAAACAATGAGTCATCTATTCTTGTCTTCTTTTTAGATGTAGGAGAAAGTGTGTATTGGGACAAAATAAACATGGTAGGTAAATTGATTCAACACCGCTGTGTCGGCGACGGCGACAGGCGGGCAGGATGCTCGCTGACGTCAAATTATGTCACGTTCCCCGCCTCCCCGCCCCGTGCCGTTTCCCCCCTCGCCTCCCCTCCCCCCAGACATCCAAGCAAGCCCCTCGCGAAGGTGTTGACAGCATTCACAATAATACCACCGGGCCCTCCCCGCTTTACACTGTGACACTCAGTGTAGAATTCTGTGCACCGTGAGCATCGGATAGGAAAACTGCTGTAATAGCAATTTTCTCAATTAGGGTTAGTTTTTTGTTTTTGTTTTGTTGGGTTTTTTAAATAGTTTTTTTGAGGATGGTGGTGGTATTTGTTGGGCTTTTTTCCACCTCTTTTCTCTTTTTCTTTTATTTTTCAATCTTTTTCTTCAACAAAGACAAGAAACCAAAGAAGGAGGAAAGGGAAAATTACAACTGAGGTAGACTTTAACTGATATAACAAAAATGAAATTCTAAGAATAACAATAACAGTTCTTTTTCTCCGTGTTAGCAGGTGGCTGTATCTGATGTGCCCCTTACCTCCCCCACATCGTCAATGGGCTTGGAGAGACACATCTGGTGGTTGATCCGTCTTACATCTTTTTATTTAAAAAAAGGACCATGTTTACGGTTGAAGCTTTCAAACAGCTCCTTCTGGCCGAGACGAGTTCTCCTGCCTTAGAAAACAGTCTCTCTGAGGGAACTGACGTAGCTGGAATGTGCAGGAACTGTCGGGCAAGAGTGCTCAGCCTTGGGAAATTGGAGCAGTTTTCTCTCCACCACTGCACTGGATCCTCCATCATGGAAAGAAATTCCGATTCATGGTATCTCCTCATCTCTACGTAGGGTCCTGTTAAACCAGGAGATGCCGTCTTCTTCAGCTGCTCAACCTTCTTCATATATGTGTCCCACAGTGATTTTTTCTGTGCAGGTGGGCCATCGTTATTTACTTCTTGAGATGCTTCTGTAGCCGATGTCTGCTGTGGTTCAGATCTCTGCATCATGGATACCAGGCGATCTTCCACATTTTTGGCTGAACTCTGGTCACAAAATGGCAGCCTTCTAAATCGTGGGTCTAGCAGTGTGGCTGCTCCGAGGGTGAAGTTATCCTCCAGACTACCAAAACGTCTGCGGAGTTCAGCCTGCAACTGATCTCTTAATGCTGATGAAGATTCTCCTGATAGCTTTTCTTGTATTTGTCTCACTGTCGGGAGCATCTTTGATAAGGAAGTGTGCTTCTCTGTAGAGGCTTCCTTTGTGGCCAGTTCAAACGGTGTTAACACCTCGATGGCAGCCCTGATCCTGTCCACTTCTGCATCGGTCAAAGACATTGTTGTTTTGCTCAGTGCACAGAGGGCCCCGGTGACAGCAGTGTGTTCCTCCTCATATCTTCTGAGCATGTGCAGGGTGGAATTCCATCTCGTATCAACATCTTGAATAAGTTTTCTTTGCTGCCTGCCCAAGTTCTGCTGGAAGCTCAGTAGTTTTTCTGTGGCCTTCACACTGTGGTGGAAAAAACTCACCACTGACTTGACTTTTGTTATGAGTTCCACTAGCTCACCGCTGTTCTTCAGAGCATCTCTCACTATTAAGTTTAGGGAGTGGGCAAAACATCTCACGTGGTGCTTTTTTAAATGGTCTTTCACCAACGAAACCATGGTCGACGCGTTGTCTGTGACAATAGATGAAATCTTGTCTTCGATTCCCCAGTGATGAAAAATGTCTGTCAATACTTTCGCGATGTTGGCAGCTGTGTGGTCGACTGTAACTCTTTGCGTGGTGAGAACTGCGGACTGAAGATCCCAAGAAGGTAGAGGAAGGAAATAGTGAGCAGTTACAGTTATGTAGGACTCAGTTTGGCGTGAAGTCCACAAATCAGTTGTGATAGCAACGTGAGTGACACTTTCCAGGGATGCTTTCAGCTTCTGCTCCTCTGCTTGAAACTTTCTTGGCAGCAGATCCCGAGACAGTGTTCGCCGACTTGGTAGTTCGTACCTGGGGTCAAGACCTCTAACAAAACCTCTAAAACCACGGTCCTCGACAATGGAGAACGGTTGCAAGTCTCTTGTGATCATTTCAAGAAGCAAATCATCAAGGGCTTTCTTCTTAATGGAATCTGCTCCATATTTAGAGACATTTGAAATGGTGGTTAAAAGTGTGGGCTGGGTCATAGATCCTGGCCTTCTCGGTGTTTCCTTCATGACAGATTCATCATTCTTCTCCAGAGGTTTCGGTCCCGTCATTGACAAGTGCTTCACTTGAAGGTGCCTCCTAAGATTCGATGTCGATCCTGTGGTATGGTTGAATATGCACTGGCACAAATTGCAGGCGACAGTCGTTGGAGACGTTCTTGTCATGAAGTTCCAAATGTCAGACGCATTTTTTCTACATGTCGCCATACTAATAGTGAAGTATCAAATAAAATTGAATAAAGCTGGCAATGCAGTTAAGAGTATCAGACAACAGAAGCAATTTCACAGTTCAACAGAACGCTGATGTAATAAATGAACACAAATGACATAAAGCAATGGACATAGATATAATTTCTTTTATCAAATCTGAAAAAAAGCAATCCAAGGCATGTGATTTTCCAACAAAATATAAGACTGGAAAAATCAAACAACAATATCAATAAAGTCAGCAAAGAGTGTCACACAAGCTTTCAATAAAAATGAAAGGCAACACAAGAGCAGACTGGTGATTAGGTAATAGGTGGAGAGACAATAAGATATGTGAAAAAGCGCAGTCGAAGAGAGAAGAGCAAGTGAGAAAGACTGAGGAGAGTGAAGCTCTTTATATACTGCATTGAAAATCCACCCCACCCCCCACCCCCTAAAAAAACCCCTCATAGACCTATGTACACATTAAAGGCGGTTGACAAAAGTCTACGGAAAAAAGAGAAAACGTAACAAAAGGTTAGGCCTAGAAAAATAAAACAAAGACAAAAGGATCTGTAGGCTCCCGACTCGCAACAGAATTTCATAGCCTAGCCTTCAAAGTTCAAAGCCGTAAGCCGCAGACATCACAAGTACCGACAATCCAAGTGATCTTCCCCCTCCCCCGACACAATTAATTACATCACTGTCATCCGCTTGGCCCAATAGCCAAAAAATAATACCAGATCAGGGGGAATAACTTCTCCAAATGAGCCACAAAGAAAGAGGTAACTAACAAAAACTTATCTGACAACCATGTCTGCCAGCTGAAACAACAAGGGAAACAACTTTTTCCAAAGGTCTGAAACAGAAAAGGATAGAGAACAAGAAAATGGTTCTTAAAACGAATAAAAATGAATCGCTTTTGTAAACGGGTTATGACCCTCTTTGGCAAACGGATCATAAAAGAGAGTCTGATCCTCTTCGGCAAATGGGTTATGAATCACTTCGACAAACGGGTTATGAAAGAGAGTTAGAGATCTGAATCCGGATAATGGTTCTTTGAGAATTATCCGATTATTCGGATATTCTATCCGGATTTGGCCCACCACTAGTAGAGAGCAAATACCGGCAGCATGGCGGCGGTA